GAACGCCAGGGTTTCTCCTCATGAGCCACCAACATCACCGAAACGTAGGGGTGGAAGCTTGGGGCACAGGTTCAGAGCCACTATAGGCCGAGGCGTTGCACAGGTCACGCAACGGGTACCCTGACACGCTTCAACAAAGTTCTTCAGAAAACACGACGGCGGCACTGCCGCAGGTCAGAGATCGTGATCCCTGGGCCGGCGTGGCTAGAGCTGGTGAGAGATGGAAAAAACCTTCGCTCTTTCGGAGAAACTGAGTTGCGAACAGCCTCAGGAGGCCAGCCAAGCCAAGCGTATAGGGACCCCTATTGCACAAACCCTCCTTTAATTAAGCCCTATGTCGCTTGGCGCCCCAAATGGCTTGGCGGTCGACCGGCTGTGATGTGAACTCAGAAGGCAGCCGCGCTCGCACGTGCTTCACACAGCACCTGTAGAAAACATAAACATGTTTCAAAACTGAATGCTTCTCGGAACTCTCTAGTGTAGAGAGGCGTCGCTGCGTTTAAAAAAACACATGCAACATGCTTGCTTGTGTGGAGATCTATATATATATATATATTCATATATTATATATATATCTAGCTACTATATATGATATTGGCTAGAGCTTCGAGTGATCCCACCAGGCCAGAGTAAAAAGAAGTAGGAAAAAAAGCCCTCTGGCACAGCAAACCTTTTTCCCTGCCAACGGTTGAAGGCGTTATTCTATTCCCCGCAGACTGTGCACCACTGCCAACCCCAGAGATTGAAACCCAACTGCGTTCTGCTGTTTGGAATAAAACAGACTTGCACTGAACACATGCACCCTGCGCGCTGCGCAGCTGCCTCAATCACACTGCACGCCCCTCAGAAACCTGCACTGACCAGTGGCATCATGGTAGCGGAGCTGCCCAACCATTGACAACTGGGCGCTACAAAGCTTAACTTATTTTACACTTGGCTTTTGCATGTTCTTGGTGATGCAAGCAGCAACGCCAAGTCACACATGACACTAGCACCCTCCCCGTGCACCATGCTAGCATGTTCTTTCTTACGACAGCTGTCGGTATCAAGAGAAAGCTGCAGCTCTTCTTGTTGAAACAGCTGTACATGGGACGGCTGTGGAGCCTTACGGCAGGCGGGGGCGAGTTTGTTGGCAGCGATCGAGCCCATGTCTACCTGGCTGCAAGTCGCATTACGGAGACCGACTATCAAAGCGGTCTCCGTGGCAAGCACCCCATTCAGCTTACCGTTGCACTTCGGGAAGCAGTCGATGGCGGTCTCATCTTTTTCCAGAACCGCTCCGGTGGGATCATGACGGTTGACACGGTACCTCCAGAATACATTGTCTCCGTCGAAAACACCGAAAGCCAGTCCACACTCTGGACCAGGGTAAGTGCCGTTGGCCTACCTGAGGCTGCTCCAGCGGATGGAGGTGAGAGCCGGGCCGCCATCACTGGCGAGCCCCGGCCAACCGCAAAAGCAATGCCTGTTTCCCTGACTGCAACCAGCAAATCGGCACCTGCAAGCAAGGCTGCACCTTCGACTCCACCTACTTCCATCGCGAATGAGGCAGAGCAAGATCAACCTGCAGCATCTTACAGCGGGTACGCTCCGCCTGAGCCTGCAGGGCCCCCACCTGGCTTTGATGCACCGATCACCGCCCCGACACTTCGAAAGGGACGCAAGCTGACGGTGATCCAGGTTGAATGCAGCCAGTGCAAGGGTCTAGTCCTCAGGGGCATGACCCACTGTGACATTTGTTCAGCCGAACTTGCCACCAACACCGAGCTGCCGGAGGAAGCGGTCACCAGACTCTCAGTTCTCCGAAAGCAGCAGCTTGCGAGGGCCGGCCTCGCTCGCACTGAGTGCCCAGTCAGCGACTATATCAAGGCTGGCCTCAACCTGCGTGTGGTGTCTGTAAGCGGCCGTGGAAACATGAGCCCAGAAGCGATCATGATCCAAGACGCTCGCAGCCGGATGAAGCGTGCAGACAAGTGTGGCTTCCAGAGCATCGAGGATCGCTTCGAGCATGACGTCCAGTTCATGGAACGAATGCTGCAAATGGGCTATGACCATCGGGCAGCGCAGCGGCAGGATTGGCTTTGCCATGCTCACTTGGCGAACCCGCCGCGCAACAAAGCGCAAGTCAGCCTGGGCCTTGGATATGACGAAGATCATTCTCTGGCGCGGCTGGCCTACATCGACGTAGCGCCCGATCGCTATCCACAAGCCATGGATTACATTCCTGAGCAATGGTGCGTGATCTATCGCACAAACATCCTCTCCTTGCGTGAGTACATCGAGTACATCAACTCACCCGACTCCCATCGTGGCCTTTTGGCTTGGGACGGCGTGCATCAGATGAGCCAATACTGCGCAATGGAGGAGCTTCGCCAGCTATGCCACGACAACCTCTCCGCTGCCAGGCGTGATGTGGTCAACAAGCAGACTCAAGAGCAGCGCCAGCGGCAGAGCAAGGGCAAGCGCAAGTCCTCTACCGGAGGTGATGGAACTCCAGCTTCAAAGGCAAAGGGAGGTCCGCCACCTTCACCGGTGAGCCCACGTGCATCCGGATCAGCGTCGTCCTCGTGGGGATGGAGCTCATGGAACTGGAGCGAGTGGGGCGAGCAGCGGCAGTGGGACCGCCGTTCGTGGGACTGGAGCTCGAGTCGGAGCCAGTGGCATTGGCGTTAGTTGAGCCAAGTCTCAACCTTTTTGCCTGAGCGAGCATAATTCATTGCATGACATCCGTTGTCAATATGTATGCGGTTTTCCTCCCAAGTCCAAACTTTCAATTTCTTTTGGCGGCGGGGAGTGAATAATTAAAATGCACGTACAGGGCCACGAAGGCAGTGGATTGCTAGCATCCACAACTGCCATGCAGCTTTGAGCCGACATCACTGTCGCGCCCTGCACAAGCCCTCGTGCACTTTCCGCGTCCAGCTTCGGGAGCAAAGCTACCTTAGCTGAGGGGGGTGTATTTTCACTCCATGTAATATGTACACTTTGTACCTTGCACATAGTAGGATGTCACGCAGATCTACCTTTCGCAGCTCGCGGCCCAAAACAGGAGTTGCAGCTTAACGGCTGTTTCTATACATACCAACCTGAATGTCTCAAGCACATGAAACCGAAGAGATCCGAAGAGTAGGCGCTCGCACCAACTGCTCCTGTTTAGTGATGGCGTAAGAAGTCCATGTTTTGAAAGCACCGGCCACACCAGGCCTTGGGCGCAGATTTTCTAGTATCTCCTTCTGTGCTAGTGACGCAAACTTGCTTCACATGAGTTGGCAGACTGCGATGCGTTGTTTCAGCTGTGTGTCCTGCAATTTTCCGACGAATGCTTTCTGCAGCTGGTGAGCAGCACTTTTCGGACAGAAGCTGCTGTGTAGCGATGCTCCAGTAGCAATGTGTTCGTAGGAAGCCTGGATCCCAAAACCAAGCAGGGTCTGTGTTTTGACCGTTTTTATTTTGATTTATGCCCACATTGTAAGACTTTGCAGCGGGAGAACACCGAAGAGCCCTTTGATAGACGCTCGCTGACCCAGTCTGACTACCATACTTGCATTTTGCGTTGTTGGATCTATTTTTCGACGACCTTGAAATTGTACATGTTCAGGGGGGTCGAAAAATAGTGATTATGTACAATAAACTATACAATGTGCATGATCGAGACAAGACTTAGAGATGGCAGCATGAAGTGGATCCTGAAAAAGGTACAATTTCAAGGGGGTCAACAAATAGCGTGCATATATACACAAACCATACAATGTGCATGATCGACACAAAACTTAGAGATGAACGCCGCATGAAGTGGATGAATAACATACATATATATATATAGAGAAGTGTCTATGATCACTCTATTTTTGGACCTCCTTACAGTTCTTTTGCAAGCATTGTTGGAAATACTTTTCGACGCCCTTGAAATTGTTCATTTTTCAGGCGATCCAACTTTTCTAATTTGCAGGCATTCTGTACAAAAATGACACACTCCGGCAACCATTTGATGCGTATGCTACCATAATAAACTATATATACTGTTGCAACCAGCTGATGCATATGATGCAAGCATGAAAGATATATTAAGACATGGACAGCTGAGAGGAATCGTTTCTTTGCCTTTCAAGGACGTCGTGGTGCAAATGATACAATAGTGAGAAAAAGAGTCAGGCATAGATGGCATAGATGATATGTCACAACCATGTGTTTTTTCCATGTTTTCTCCCATTCCACTCGTCTCCCAGACACAGCTCATGATGCAGAATACGCCTTTTCGTTCCCACAAAAAATGCCCCCCTACTAATAGCTAAAGCTATGTAGCGACCAGCCCGCTACTTACAGCTTAGTTTAAAGTAGGCTGTATACATTCCAAAAATTGTGAACATTAGTGTTCAAAGCAAAAAAACACAAGTTCTTTTCACTCTGCTCTACTAGACTTGGCTGGAGGCTCCCACTCGTCTTTCTTGAGAGGAGGGTCGACCGAACAAATATTAAAAGTATCCAACTCTCCTACATTTGCTGGAGTTTCTTCCTTGGGTGTGGGGTCGACCGGAAAAGATCATCTATATTTTTTGAAACGTTGTTTCTTTTTTTCGGTCGACCCTCCTCCTGGCCTTTGCCAAAGGCTCCTAATCTGGAGCGGGGGTCGACCAATTCTTTTTTGTCGACCCCTCGTCCCAGCCTTTGCCAAAGGCTCCTAGTTTACTACACCTTATGGATGCTTGTTTTATTAGAGAAGTCAGATTTTTCTTAGAGAGACAGCGTCCCTTGCTTTTTTCTATCGATCCAGGTTGTACGTTTGTACTCTTTGCTAGATTTTTTTTGATTACGATCAGCCAAAAAGACATGCTAATATTATTATCTAGTTGCTGTATATAAAGATAACATAATGCATGTTTATAATTCAATGTATTTTCAGAAACGTCCATTTTGGGGGGCCCTGACAGCGTCTCTTTCTGAATTGTTCTATATAGAAGGATCCTTCACTTGTAGATTTCAATCTGGCCCGTGTTCTGCAGGAACCACCTAGAATAGGAATTCTTCCAGACGAAGTGGAGCGCCAGTGCACAGTTCTTTGCTCAGTAAAATGTGCTTAAAACCATGGAATGGAGAGATTGTTGTGCATTGCGTTGACGAATTCAAGATTGGTTGTCTGAGGATGTGCGGTTCTTGCTCTTCACGATTCTGGTGTTCTCAGGCGCGTTGGTGGGAAGCAGCAATGCCACCAGTAGTTCTACTGTTGCAAAGAGGCTTAATCGTGCATTTTTTGCATCATCACGTGGCCATGATTTCATTCAAATGGACAGCAGGATGTCCAGTTATGTGTGTGTTTTTTCCCCAGCAAAAATGGAAGCGGTCAGCTGTAATAGTAAAGACGGCAGCCTGCAAGCAGGCATGTCACCACTATAAGGACCCCAATGAATAAGAAGGCAATGTGTGGTATCAGCCAAGTACCATGGATCTAGATGCAGGGAGCCAGAGTTTCTTGGTTGATGCCCCTTTGCGCTTTCTTTGAGGGCCATCTCGGGCAAACAGGGCACGAAGAGCGGGTTCTGGCGATAAGGCCCGTAACAAAGTAGGACATGGCAGATGTACTCTTGAGCACTTTGATTGAATCTTGCGAGCCGCTGGTTGAGATGAATGAATTGTCGATGCAGGCCCAAGTATGGAAAGACGGTGTGTTCTACAGATCTAAATGCTGAGAGCCGAAGCAACACCTTTAAGCAACATTTCTGGGCTGCTGCCCCTCTGCGTTTGTGTTTGAGGATTGTCTCGCAAGAAAAAATGCACCTCTGGAAAAATGGGTTCTAGCAACAAGTGCCCCCAGAACAGACCTTAAGGAACAGTTTTGTTGCTGCCCCTTTCCGGCTTTGTTTGGCAGCCACCTGCAAAAGAGTGCGCCTCCGAAAGCGGGTTCTGGCAAAAGGACAGTGGCCAAAGCAGGGTGCGGCAGATGCATCTTCGAGCACTTAACATGAATCTTGCGAATGAAGAGGGTTTTGCCAGAGGGTCTCTGCAGAAGTGTTGGGCACATTCACATCGCTCCTTGGAGTTTCTTGACTACAACACGACGTTGCTCTAGTGTTTACGAGGGCTGGCTTTCGTCCCCTCCCTTCTCAGTACATACATATATTTGAGCAAGCCTGAGAAGCTAGTGACTGGGATGTAAAAATTCGCCTTCTTCGCATGCTTGATTTGGTGCCTGGATCTTTTAAGAACTTGTTTTCTTCTCCTGTGCAGGGGTTGGTTGGTTGAGCTGCAGTTATGTCCACAAGGCAGACTTGAGAAGGCTCACTCAAGGGTGCCCATGCCTTGTTGTTTGGATGGTGCCAGTTGGTTTTTATGTAATGTTTGGTGTTTCTCAGGTACAGCTTTCACAAACTATTGTGCACGACCAGGAAGGCCCTTTAAAGGGAAGAAACTGATGCAAACGTCTCGGACTTGCAGTTTTTGGCCAGGTCGATGACCCACACGACCTGCTAAAGGTTCCGCCAACTTCCTACACCTTCTGGCGCCGCTGGTGTTTTGTGTGTTGTAGGTGCTGAAGACTCGAAACTCTGTTTGACTGGCATCTCACTTTGACAGGTGTTTGAACTCCACAGGCAATGGCTTGGATTTGGAGTACCCTCAATGTCTTCAAGAATGCCCTATCTCTGTTGGAAGCTCAGAGCTTCAAGTGGGCAGCAAGGTGTACGAGATTGGAGCCCGTAAAGCCAGGCCATGCAAAAGATCAATTGTGGTCCGGGCGGTGCTCATCCTCGCGAGGACTCTCTGTGAGTGCATGAACCATTTGTTTGTTGTACTGTTATACTGTATGGTTTGTACGGACACCAGTTTTCATGCTTTCACTAGCTGTTGTATGAACTATATAGCTCTTGAGAAACAGAACATCAGAACATCATGCAAGGACTGCGAGGCAGCAAGTAGCGCAACAGGGGTGAAGTTCTGAAAGCTTTGGTCCGCTATTATTACCACCATTGATCACATCAACATCCTGTTGCCTCAAACATATTCCACGTAACATGTTCGCACCAGCGTGCATGGTGTCAGATCTGCTGGATCGACAAGCTCTCACTGCTTGTTCAATCCCAATTGTCTACATCGAACAGTCAATTCCGAGTAGGGAAAAAACATCACATTGTTTTTCCCAAGGCACTGCTGAAAGCAAAAACTGGGAGTTTAAGTGGGAGAAAAGCAACGACAAGAGACTCAGCCAACGAGATCTCTTTAAATGCATGGAAATCAAAGTCCGGACACACAAGGGAATAGTAAGTACAACCTAGGGCGGGTGCGACTCTAAGTCTAAGTGCTTCCGTGGTGCTGCTTTGTCTCTGCCCAAAGTATGATGCCACGACTACTTGTTGGTACAGATGTGGTCCTGGTTGTAGGTAGTTGGCACACGCTTGATAGGCGACCGTGGCTTTTCACACTTTCGGACACAATTTCGTGTGGTAGTTGCATGTATTTGCAGCACTTTTGACGTTTCCTTCAGTGCCACTTGGGAGAATTTTTGTGGGTTTTTTTGGCGCACTTGAATGTGAAGTTGCAAGTGGAGTTGATGCTTCGCTGAGCACGGGTGGGGTGGGGTGGGATGGGTGGCGTTGACGTTCATGTGAAGTTGCAAAAACAGTTGGTGTTACACAGTTGAAGTTGTAGACGGTCTTTCAAGCGCGAGTTTGACCTTTCGGGCTGTTTGGCTTTCTTGTGACTTGACTTGCAGTTCTCCGTCAACCGCAGCCCATCACAATCCCGGTGATTAGAATGTTGATGACAGGTCATGGCACTTTTTCACACTCATAGGTGACGCAAAAAGCTGCTTTGATTCACATCTGGCACTGGATTGATGTTATTGTTTGCATGCAGCAACCTCCACGAAACTTTCTCTCTTGCCGCCTGGAAAACACTATGCAGTCACGTGTGATGTTGTGAACCTACTCACCAATATTCGTGATGACCCCGAAACCACACGCGTTCTTGCAAAGAAAGCTTGAAGATGAAATAGAAGAGCATGCTGCGTGCTGCTAAAAGAGCAGGCAGCTAAGGAAATATAAGAGCTTCTGAGATGGGGTGCATGGGCGCTTGATAGCTGATAGCGGTCGTGGTGTGAAAACGCCATGGCTGTGTATCAAGCATGTACCCAGTTCGTGCTTGTGCAAGGTGATGATTTTGCTGTGGTTGAAGAACCATGCATCATACTTTCATCATCGATTGAAGTCTTGCCATTGCGCAACTTTTATCTATATAGCTGCAGTAGTATGGAATTCTTTGGATACAGATTGCAGTATGTTACGTATTAGTATTGACAAGGTTTCGAGTTTCAGCCTTCTATCCGCAGGGTTTGTTCTTGTGTATCCCGTGCACCTTGTTTGATGCTTTTCACAGGGTGTAACAATCATACCATAGCGCAGTAAAATGCCCGTGCGCTCGATGGGAGAAGGGACAGACTATGGGATCTTTAGATGGTGCAGGCAATGTTTGTCACACATGTGTGTTCGCATGCCTTCTTTTGCGCGAGGCTTATCCGAGCACACCTTTTGGTGTTTTCTGTATGCCATTGGATGGGAAACTTCATGCGCAGGCTATGCTTGGTGGAGATTCGATTGTGAGTTTAACTTTATCAAGTGCCACAGCACTTTGAAGGTCACTCATTCATTTTCTTCAATGAGAGGGGCACTTCTGAGGTTGCGGCCTCAACATTTTGAAGACGATTCAATCCATTTGTGCAGATTCATGTTTGTCTCTCATTTGCGCTTGACTCGATCCGTCGTATGTGTCACGCAAGTGGGCACAAAAGCATGTCAGCAGTGTAGCCATGTAAGCGAGCAGATTGAGGTTAATCTTCATCACGAATGCATCCCCATAAACATTTCCTCTACAGAAAGGCTGGCCTCAAGGCCCTTATAAAATGTTTTTTTTATAGAAAAACTATGCTACCATAAAGTTCAAGCCCTGCAATATATAGAGAATCATGATTTTATACGTCTTCAATATAAGATTTATATAGATGTCCCAACTTTTTATAGAGACAAATTTTGGTGAAGGACTTCCGGAGGTCAGCGACAAGGTAAACATTTTATAGAGAATTTTTTGGGAGACATGAAATAACAAGAAACATTTTATAGAGACAAGACATCCATGCATTACAAGAGATGATCAATACCAGAAAACAATTTATAGAGAAGCAAAAAACCATTGTCGTGAGCCATTTTATAGAACGTTCACTTTATAGAGAAGAAATGTTGATGACAAATGAGGTTTCATATCATATTATAGAGAGGGCTGCTGCTCAAAAAAAACGTGGTGACGCAACATTTTATAAAGCAAAATGAAGCAGAAGTGGATAGATGTGGCTTGTATTGGCTTGTCGCGCGCGTTGTAAGCCAATTTTTGGCCCAAGATTTTTGAAGCAGATTGTATAGTTCAAAGCGGGCGAAGATGGATCCAGACCCACCACCAGGGTGGCCTACAATTTGCTCAGTTCTGCTTTGTGCTGAGACCGTACCGAAGCCTTGTTGGGACAGTGCAAGGGGATGTTGGAGTGACCCAGCAGCGGTTGAGTCAGAAGATGTCAGAAGGATATGTGTGGATATGTTTAGTTCAATAATGTTGAAGATTTCTGAACGACGTGTGCACAGTTGCGAAGCATTGTGAATCATTGTGAATCTAAGTTTCCAGATGCTCGATGATGGGTCCAAACGCCAGACTATCGCATCATCACGTCTATTGGGACCCGTGCCCAAGCTGAACATCTAAAGCCAATCAGAATCAATCAGAATCATATATTTGTATATATGTGTAATCCTTGTAAACGCGAGCCGCCAGCTCTATCCATCTCAGGAAAGCATCCGAGTGGAAAACATCACTCAGAATCAGCTCTGTGAAACCAAAGCTCCCGAAACCTGTGCCAAAGCCGCCGCCGCCGACAGGTGAAGCACGGCTGCATATAGCTAGACAGTTCAAGAACATCCAAACAGTTTAGAGTACATGTATGTACATGTTAGATTGAACAGAAAATCATAGAAAATCACTATAGATTGAGAGGGTACTTAACAAAACTCTATTGAAAGATGATTATCCCCGATTATCCCTGACCATTTTGGCCTTCCAGTAGCTTGATTTTGAAAATCCCCTACAAAATGATTGGGCATTAAAAAAAAAACATAGATTGATGATCGTTAAGCAGTTTCAGCTTCTCTCAGGAAGAGGATCCAAAATCCGGGGATGGAGCTTTACATTCTGCCCAGGAGAGAGACTAGTCAAAATAAGATAAAATAAGTACAATATAAATTAGTTGAGTCCACAACTATTTGATACTATGTGATTCTATTTGATGTTTTTGCATTTGTTTGCGTGTTCTTTATGTTTTCCTTGTTTCATAAATGTCTATAAAATACATAGGCATCTGATTTGCGTAAACACTTCCACACTATAGAATCAATGTACCTCTTAGAGTTGAATTTCAACCACAGTCAAAATTGCAAATTGCAGGAAGAGCCAGCAGCACCAGCTACACCGGCGGAGCCCAAGGTGGACCAGGAAGAGAGCATTTGAGAAAGAGATGAGGAATTACATGAGGAATACAAAGAGAATCACATAAATGTCTATAAAATATATAGGCATTTGATTTTGTAACAAATTGCCCACTATAGAATCTACGTACCTCTTATATAAATGTGAATTTCAACCACAGTCAAATTGCCAATTGCATCCAATTGCAGGAAGATCCAGCCACACCAGCTGCACCAGCGGAGACCATGGTGGGCCAGGAGAGAGCATGAGAAAGAGATGGAGAATTATATTTAGGAATTTATAGAGATAATTAAAGAATACTGTATTAGACTGTATTAAAGAATATTAAAGATAATTAAAGAAATATGAATATTTCTTTTTGATTCTTTTTGTATTATTGTATATCGAAAAGAATGCATCATCTATAAAATGCTTATGACTGAATATATAGTAGGAACACTGTCCATTAAACACAAGACCCTGACAAATTATAGAAGATGTTCGAAGTTATTACATTTCTCCGGGCAGGCGGAAGAGCTGGTTGCTGCTACACCATATCCCATTTTGGGAAGTGGAGCCGCCGAGGACGAGGCCCGCAGAAATCTGCGAAGCGTTCCATTGAACATGTCTTTCAAAATCTTTCAGACATGTTCAAACGGGGTTTTCTCGGAAATATTATTTCTACAAAATGTCAGGGCATCTCATTTGTGTAGACACTTCCCCACTATAGAATCAATGTACATCTATGTACATCTTAGATTTGAATTTCAACCAGAGTCAAATTGCTAATTGCAGGAAGATCCAGCTGCACCGGCGGAGCCCACAGCGGACCAGGAGGGAGCATAAGAAAGAGATGAAGAGTATTGAAGAGTATTGAAGAGTGACATGAGGAATACATGGAGATACATAAAGAATCATAAAGATACATAAAGAATCATAAAATATCATAAAGATACATAAAGATACATCTATAAAATGCTTATGACTGATGATATAATAGCAACACTGTCCATCAAACACACGACCCTGACAATTTATAGAACATATTCGAAATTGCATTTCTCCGGGCAGGCAGAAGAGCTGGTTGCTGCTGCACCAGCCGCCGAGGACGAGGCCCGCAGAAATCTGCGAAGCGTTCCAGTGTTGAGAACCTGGGATCGGGATGGATTGGGATGGATTGGGTGTGTGCAGCTTTAGGATTTTGTGATCGGCTGAGGGTGTTTTCATTGGCCATTGATGTATATTGATGTATTCCTTCTGCCAGCCCTTTTTGGCTACCAAGTTTGACACAGAGCAAGTTTGTTTGTTGTAGACGATCATCTATCCTGCCTTGTGACCATGTCGGAGGGTGCGCAGCAGTTAGTGCAAGCGAGCGGCAGTCAGACCAAGCCCAAGTCTCATACTCGTATGAACAAGACTGAATGCTGCAAAGAGCTCAACTCAGCTGAAGACGTTCCGGAGTTGCGCGGCATGTCTACGACGCCCTTGACTCATTTGTCCCTGTCGGAGCTTCAGGCTTTGGTACAGGCCAAGCGCATCCGCGCGGGCACAGCCAAGCCCCGCCCACCTACGGATCCATTTGTCTTGATGATCGGGAAAGCAGGTTTGCCAGTCTTAAAGCAGCTGTGTGAAGAAAAAGATATCAAGATTGACCCAGGCGACAGAGTTGCCGATTTGCGACTCAAGCTTCGCAAGTGGCATGCCGGCCAAGGCGATGCTGCAGAGACTAAAGAGAAGGTGAATGGACCAGATGGAGATGAAGGGTTTGAGCTTGTCAATGTCAACACGTGATGCGCTTTTCTTTGGTTTTGTGGAGGTCCTATGGACTTTCAAGGATTTGCCTGGCTGTTACAGTGCCTTTCCCGTATGCAACATTAATTCATTGGAGCTATTCTGAGCCTATATATAGTGCTCACTGCATTTGGTGTGGCGTGAGCATGCCAAAGATTAGAGTATAGGCAGCCAGAAATGCTCGTTAGCGTTCGTTTCACTGTAGAGCCAGAAATAGCAGCCAGATCGTGGAGGATCATTAGAATCATTAGAGACCTTGGGCAACCATAAGCCCATAAGCCGAGCGAGACGATGAAACACGTGCATTGAAATGCATTGAACATGTCTTTCAAAATCTTTCAGACATGTTCAAACGGGGTTTTCTCAGAAATATTATTTCTACAAAATGTCAGGGCATCTCATTTGTGTAGACACTTCCCCACTATAGAATCAATGTACATCTATGTACATCTTAGAATTGAATTTCAACCAGAGTCAAATTGCAAATTGCAGGAAGATCCAGCCGCACCAGCTGCACCGGCGGAGCCCACAGCGGACCAGGAGGGAGCATAAGAAAGAGATGAAGAGTATTGAAGAGTGACATGAGGAATACATGGAGATACATAAAGAATCATAAAGATACATAAAGAATCATAAAATATCATAAAGATACATAAAGATACATCTATAAAATGCTTATGATTGATGATATAATAGGAACACTGTCCATCAAACACACGACCCTGACAAATTATAGAACATATTCGAAATTGCATTTCTCCGGGCAGGCAGAAGAGCTGGTTGCTGCTGCACCAGCCGCCGAGGACGAGGCCCGCAGAAATCTGCGAAGCGTTCCATTGAACATGTCTTTCAAAACTTTTCAATTGTCAAACATGTTCAAACGGGGTGTTCTCGGAATATTATTTCTACAAAATGTCAGGGCATCTCATTTGTGTAGACACTTCCCCACTATAGAATCAATGTACATCTATGTACATCTTAGATTTGAATTTCAACCAGAGTCAAATTGCAAATTGCAGGAAGATCCAGCCGCACCAGCTGCACCGGCGGAGCCCACAGCGGACCAGGAGGGAGCATAAGAAAGAGATGAAGAGTATTGAAGAGTATTGAAGAGTGACATGAGGAATACATGGAGATACATAAAGAATCATAAAGATACATAAAGAATCATAAAATATCATAAAGATACATAAAGATACATCTATAAAATGCTTATGACTGATGATATAATAGCAACACTGTCCATCAAACACACGACCCTGACAAATTATAGAACATATTCGAAATTGCATTTCTCCGGGCAGGCAGAAGAGCTGGTTGCTGCTGCACCAGCCGCTGAGGACGAGGCCCGCAGAAATCTGCGGAGCGTTCCAGTGTTGAG